TCTCTCTTCGCACTCAAAGAAAGAAAGAGGGATTTTAACACTCAAATTCATATTCGCCGGAGGGCGTTGTAAATTCTTTGTGCAAGAAGATGCGCTCCGCGCACGTAGGAACCCTAATCATCGCCGCGCTGCTCGCCGCGCCCGCGTCCACGAGCCAGTGCGAGGACTACTTTGGCGATATCGAGGACCAGGACGGCACCGTGACGACCGTAGTGGACCCGGACGTCACTGAGGGATGGCCTTTTGCGCGTCTCACCTTCGTTCACCACTCTGGTCCCGGCTCTGCGTGCTTGTCTCCCGCGCCGCCAAAGGGCTGCCACCGCTACTATGTCGCGACGTACACGACGTCCGAGTGTCCCTCCACCTGTCCGCTGATCACCGGCACCGCCGCCAACTTTACGGGCAAGCGCGACTTGGACGGCAGATTTGACCGAGCGAATGGAATCCTGTCTGCCTGCGCCGAGTGCGCAGCCAGTGTGAGCCTCGTGTGCTGGCGCGCGCCAGCGAAGGACCCGCAGCGATGTGCGTGCCCTGGCGCGGCGCCGTCGCGCGGCGGCGGGCTGCTGCTGGAGGACCCGGCGCCGCCGGTGCACCTCCAGAGCTTCGAATCCCTCGAGGACACGCTCAAGGACTCGATGAGCGCTCTTGCCGTTCTCGCGGTCGGCATTGCGGGACTCGTTGTTCTGGGCCGATTCGTTCGGCCCGGAAGTCATACAGCTGCCGAGAGGCTCCTCAACAACCAGTTCTAGCTCCTGACGCATTGCCGTATGCAGACGTGTGTCGGCGTGCGTGCGTGCGTGTTCGCGCGCGAGCGTCCCCGCGTATGCTTTATCTAGGTAAATTTCATGACTTCTCGACAGTATCTAGGTAAATTCCATAATCTAGGTAAATTTCATAACTTCTCGACGTGGAGGTGGGGCCAGGCCGACTACACGGTAAGGCATACGGACCTTGCAGAAAACCTTTTCCTTCTAAGCAGGGCTACACAATGACCCTATAGTGTGTGGGTGTTCCTGGCGAGTTGTGATGAGTAGAATTAGACTAGCCAATACTATTTTGAAGTTCATATATGAAAATACCAACTTGCCTATGTGCACGTCTCCGCCGCGGCGGCCCGGAGGCGGCCCGGCGGAGCGGTCAGAGCAGCACTGCGCGGGCCGGCGATCGACTCTCGACTATAGTACGGGCTCTATTGAATGGCCTCAAGGTGCTCTCTAGGGCTGCCCTATTCCGCTCGCCCGGCTACGTCGCCGGGCTTCGAAGGAAAAGGTTTCGCTCGGCACGGCGTCGGAGAGCAAACTTCGACGTTCGTCCTATAGTGGAAGCTGGACGCACGTAGGCAAGTGGCCCATGACCAGGCGGGCTGCTGCTCAGAATCTGGGCCGTCGGCGCTCGCTCTCGCGCTCTTCATAACGGCGTTGCCCCCTCCCTCCCGCGCCGACGTTGGGCAGCCCGACCACGACAACGTCAGCGCCGCTGGCCTGCAACTCGAGGCGCCTTTGAATGAGCACGAGCCGGTGCGCGGCGGCGGCGCGGGTGATGCAGCCCAAGGTGACGGCGACGGCAGAGGGGGCGGCGCCGGCGGCGGAGGAGGCGGCAGCGGCGGCGATGGCCGCGGGGTCGGCCCGCCCGCCTTTGCTGCTGGTGCTGTGGGCATCATCACAGCTCAGCGGCGGTGTGCGACCAGGGCCAGTGGTAGACTTTCGACGCGGTGAGGCTGCTCTCTGAGCAATGACACTAGCAAGAGCATCATGTGTGTCATCGGAGTCACTTGTATTACGATACCACCACGCCGCCACGCTCGCAAGGGCCGCCTAAGCGCCTAAGCACACTAAGCACCCCCCCCCCGCTTAGGCCGCTTAGGCGCTTAGGCGAGTGACGGCCGGCTGCCCGGGGCCTGGCGTGCCTCCGCCGTGGGCTGAGCGCCCGGGAGAGCCACTCTGCAAGTGGTGTGCGAGCGTGTAGCCTTTAGCGTGCAGTCGGCCGGGCTTCCGCCCGGGGCTATAGGGGGTAGGGGCTAGGCCGTAGCGGCTAGGGCGCTCGCGCGCCTCCCCTCTCTACACGGCTCTCTATGATAGAGTCTCTATATGCGTGCGGAGAGCGCTGCGGCGGTCCTCGGCGTACCTCGGCCCTCTTGTGCCCCCCGCCTCTTGCTCTTCGTTATACGGCGTACTAGACCGTGGGTCTTCCGTCCGGTCTTCGCTCCCCCGGCGTGTGTGGGGCCCCCCGCGCTCTCGCGGGGTGTGGAGCTGGAGGTCCGCGCGCACCGCGCACCGCGGCCCTCTCTCGAGCGGAGAGAGCGGGGAGACGGGCTGTGAGGCTGTAAGCCCTGTCCGCGCCTCTCCGAGCTCGCGCGCCTGACACCTAGGAAGCGGGACCGCTGGGCCGTCTGTGGCGACGAAGTGGCAAGTCGCCCCGGGCGGGGGGGGTCGCGACCTCCGGTTCGTTCCTCAACTCCAACGACCCGGTCTAGCAGTGTACCCACACGATACGTCTCACGCTAGGTCTCACGAGTGTTAGGAGCAGTGTTATCGTCCTCGTCTCCTCGAGCGTTATCCCCCTATCTATCTCGCGCGCTATTCTCGCGCAGGAGATAGTTCAATCGTAAATATCGTATCTGCGCGAATGTCTGGTAGGTACAACCACAAACCAGCGTTCCATCCCCGTGCTACCACGGGGAGGTCTCTCTCCGCCTATGCCGTGCCGCGTGGACATCCAGGATGCACGCCACCTCGCGTTGATATTTGCAAGACCTGCCAGCTCGAACGATCTCCGGGATGCAGCACTTTTTTGCGCCGCCATCCCTCTTCTTGCACCCGCCCCCACCGCACTTGCCGCATCCTTTTGAGCAGCAGACTGCGCCCTTTGGGTCGGCGATTCCTTTCTCGCACATCCCTTTCGCAGCTGGCTTCTTACTCTCCTCCTCCTTTGCATTGGACGCACTCTGTTCGACGGCTCCGCAGAAGGACGGGACGGCAAAGTGGCTCATCTTCCTCGCCCGCTTGTCTGTTAGGTTGCAGCTCGCGTCGTTCGGGTTCCAAGTGTAAAAGGCACAGTTGTGCGTTTCGCTGCACCGCGTTGCGCACTTTGAAGCGGTCGACTCGCGCGTCTGGCCCCACAGGTTACTCAGCAGAAGGCTCCCGCGGCTTGGCTGAAAGCGGCAGGCCCGCTCGGCCGGCACTCCGCACACTGCCTCCTTGGTGACAACCTTGTTCGAGCTCCGCGCCGAAACGTGGCAGCCGTGGTCCTGCCACCAGGACCAGTACGCACACCCGGGCAGCTTGCGACATCGCGCCGCGCACGACTCGGCAGACTTTGCTATCGTGCGTGGCCCCGCCGAGTGCAATGGCTGGTAGCTGCAGCGGGGCTCATGCGGAAAGTCGACGAGATTGGTGAGGTGGCAAGCCACGTCGTCGCGAGAGCGGCACGCCGTCCCAAATTTGTGGGGACAGCAACGCTCGGGGCCGCCCTGTCGCGAAGCGCAGCGGCTTCCCACACCATGCCGGCCCCGGCAAGCACCGCACTCCGCTGCGCAGCACGCCGTTCCGCTCTCGTCCCGAACGCCCCTCCTGCACATGTCCGTCTCGAGAGGCGACAGCTGCTGCACCATCGACTCGTTGCTGAGGCTCTGCAGAAGCGCGGCGGCAAGTGAGAGAATGCTCGCCGACGCGACGGACATTTTGCGGGACGGTCGGAAGTTTGCAGCTTGACACCCAAGTGTTGAGCACCGGTGACTGTGGGAATGGGGAAGCAGAGTTCAGATCAGTCGAGGGAGTGTGATCTCCCTCATCCTCAACGGGCGTCCAATCGCAATCGGATTTACTACGGCGGTGGTCCAATGGTAATCCGCATATTGGACGTAGTATCCGTGTAGGAATTTGTCTCGTTCAGCACCCAGAGAGGCGCTGGAGATTTTTAGAACCAATCAAAGTAGTTGGCTTCTTTAGGTCCTTGCAATAGGAGGTTGGGTACCCCACATCTCGCCTTATCGCTTCGCTGCGGGCCAAACCCCTCATCCGCTGCGGAGCCCGAACCCATCGGCCACCATCTGATGGCGATCCCACCCGCGTTGCCCTCACCAAAGCTGCCGCTGCTGCCGCCAGCCTCGTCCTTCGCTGCCTTCATCGCCGCGCAGGCCGAGACGTGCCCTCCGCGCCGCGCCTTCTCCGGAGCCGCGCCGTTTGTCGCATACTCTGCAGCCGAGGCGGCGTCCAAGGCGCCGCCGCTCGTGTACCGCGAGAAGGTGCTCTTCGACTGCCTCAGCCCGGGCAACGCGAGCATATCGGTCACACTCGCTTTGCTTCCCGCCGTCGCCGCCGAGCTGGTGCGCGCAAACATCCTGCCGGCGGGGGATTTCTCGAACGCGCCGCCTCCCGAGCCGGAGCCGTTTGACTGGATGCTGATGCTTCAGAACGCCGCGCTCGCGCTCGCGCGCGACCTGCTCTCGAAGGTGACGCAGCAGTTCATCGAGATTCGCGCAAAGCTGCGTGTGCCGCAGTGCGCTCTCCTGCCCGCGCCGGCGCGCCCGTGTCTGCGCCGTGAGTCTGCGCCGTGAGCGGGTCCGCGTCTCCCGCACGGCTGCAGGTGGGTCCACATGGAGCTGATCAAGCACGTGCCCACCTTCAGCGAGTACCTGCACGGTAAGCCTCATCTCTCCATCAAGTCCTCCCTCGCCGGCCGCTGGCGCGCGGCGCGCGGCGTCGCGCTGAGCAAGGTTGCGCCGTCACACCCTCCCCGCTGCCGCCGCACACCCTCCCTCCGCCGTCGCACGCGCGTCGCCACGACCGCCCTCTCCTCGTCCGCCCTCTCCGCCACCCTCCCCGCCTCCACCTACCCCACCTCCGTCTCCGCCTCTGCCGCCACCGCCTCCGCGCTTCCCTGCACAGGTTGCCTACGCCAACAGGACTCTCGGCTTGTTCGTCGCGGACGCGGCGCTCCTCGCCACACGCCAGCTGCACCTCGGCCGCACCTCGGCCGCACCTCGGCCGCACCTCGGCCGCGCCTCGGCCGCGCCTCGGCCGCGCCTCGGCCGCACCTCGGCCGCACCTTGGCCGCGCCTCGGCGGAACCTCGGCCGCACCTCTTTCTGCAGTTGCTCGTGGACGGCGCGCGTCTCCTCTTCCCAGCCGACTGCCGCACGCGCCTCGTCTACGTCGCCGGGCCGTAGATGCTGCACCGCAGCGCTGCCCTACCGGCCCGTGTGCTCCTCCCCGCAAGGCCCGGACTCACACCCCCATTCGCCGTGTCCCCCACTCCAGGCGTCGGACGACCCTGCCGTCGCGAGCTTCGTGCGCGACTGTCCGCCCGAGGTGGTCGAGGGCTGTGAGCGGCGCCTCTTCACGAGTGCGGTGGTGTGGGCAGGTGCGCAACTTCAAGCTCAAAGTCGGGAAGCACGCCCTCTCCGGCTGCCTCTCGTGCGCCGCTGCCGCGCGGACGGGACGCCGCTCGTCGGGCACTGCTCACCCCTCCCCTGCCGCACCTGCTGCGCCACAGGTACGTGCTCGGAGTGGTGACGCCGCTACTGCTGCCCACGCCGTGCGGCCTCCTCGCCGGCGCCTGCGCGTGTATGCGGTCCGCGCCTCACGCCCTCGTCGCGCGATCAGGTGCCCCTTCTTCGTCGGCTTCTTGCTCGGGGACGTGGTCGCCGTCTTCGCCGCAGAGGCGGCGGTGGCCAAGTACGGCGAGATCAAATGAAGAGCCGCCCCTCGCAGCAGAGGGAGGGGCGGGGGGGACCGCGGAGAGGCTCGGCTCCGCTCTGCGGCGCGGGCAGCATGGAGAGAGAGGAGGGGGCGAGCGGGGCGGGGCGGGTTCTCGAACTGAGCCGTCTCTCGCGCGGGGAGGTGGCGCGGCGCCTCGAGGGGCCGGCGGCGGCGGCGGAGAGAGCGGCGCAGCGGCGAGAGGGGCGCGGCCCCGCCGCAGTGCGCGCGGGTGCCTCTGCAATGCGGAGGCCGGAGAGGGACGGGCCCACACCCATGCGCCACGCCGGCCTGGCCGCATGCGCCGGCCTCCGAACTTGTCTGTACTTTTTGTCAGTATCCGGATCATTTTTGGGTCTGAACAACTTTGTCAAGCGCAACAACTTCAACCTGCTGCAGAGCGCATCTCTCTCTCTGTTGTGCGAGGCGTGAACCGCGCCATTCGCTCTCTCACCTGGCAACCCTGCGTGTCTGCACGTCTCGCGCGAGCGTGAACAGGGCTCGAGGAACAGGGCGACCGCCCACGCGCCCAAAGCAAACTTTAAACCACCATAAAGATCAGTCTGCAGGGGCGCGGCAGGGGCGACAAGCGGCAGCGGCAGGAGTACGCGGCAGGCGTGCGGACGTGCCGGCTGGAGACGATTCGTGGCGCCAACTGCCTTGGGAGGCGCCCGCCGAGACGTGCGCGACGATCGCGAAGTTTTGCGCGGAGGTGGCTGATTAGAGTCTCCTCCTGAAGAGTGACGCTATTTCGTGCACATGACAGCTGGGACACTCGACTCGTCACGCACACACGTGTTGGTGTTCATGATTCCACGACCAACGCGTGCGAGGAGGGCATGCAGCTATTCCTGATGTGGCTGTACGATCTCAGAGGGGATTCGATCGCACGCGTTGCGGCTGGTGCCGACACACTGCTGTGGCTCTCGGAAGCCAACCCAAACGCCGCAAGCGATAAAAGCGGCGAGCAGGATGAAGATGAAGCACCAGGAAATGCGCCGGTAGCAACGGCTCTCTTGCACGTTGATATGCACTTGCTGCTGTGTGGGTACAGCGAGCACCACAGCTGGATCGTGTACAGCGAGGCTTGGAGGCAGAACCTCACCGATCACTCGTGCAAGGCGCTCGTGAGCGTCAGAGGGCGATTTGGTAAGAGTGGATTCGGAATGGCCAAGTTGACCGAAGCGTGAGGTGTCGCCGTACGACGGTGGAGGCACGTCGTCGTCAGAGTCCTCTTTGCTGACTGGTAAGGGCATGTATTCAGCACTGACGGCCGAAGGGCGTGGCAAGATGGGACGCGGAAGCGAAACCTTGTGAACTTCAGTAGTTTTTCTTTATTGCTTGCCGAGGTGGCTGAGCTCAAGTGTGGGATGTGGTGTGTGTTGGATGTGGAGACCACACACTCCAACTAGAAGCGATACTACACACTACATCGGTCTACACAGGGTGTAGGGGTGTCAGGCGCGGAGAGCGCCGGCGCGGCGCGCCGCGGAGAAAATGATGCGCGAAGCACAGGCAGCCAGATGCGATTTCTGTTGAGTTTTGGCTCCGCCCCAAGGCCAGCCGGCGCGCTCCTCCGCGCGCGCAATATCGAGCGCCGGCGCGCTCCGCGGCGCGCGTGAACAGGGCTAGTGCTGCCGCGAGAACGCCAGCCAGGTACGACATGTCTCGTGTAGACTCCTCCTGGGTCATGGTCGGTCATATGCAGGACGGCCAGAGTCGCCCACATCGCCTACGCGGTCCCGAGTGTGGTCAGGCTGATACACCGCGACTCAACGGTTGAGTGCGGCCAGCGCACACAAAAGTCGTCGACTGCGGCCTGGCGCGGTGATCATAGGTGCTGGAGACCAGACAGTATGAGCCTGTAACCTGGGCACGCATGAACTCGGTACCTACATTCGCAGAGGCCCGGCAAGGATGGGATCTAGTAGAGTGATTGCGCACTGAGACCGTGCTCCGTGGGTCGCTGGAATGACCTGAAAGGCATCCTCAGTGCCGCTGCTCGACTCTCCAGTGTCACAGCCGATGCCTGTGACCTGGTCACCGCCGATGCCTGTGACCTGGTCACCGCCGCACGCAGGTTGAGATCCGCGCCTCCTTCCCTTATTTGTTCGCCTGTATTTGCAAATACGGAGGCGTACGCAACTGTCTGCACGTCTCGCGCGCGCGTGAACAGGGCGATCGGGCCAAGACTAAGGCTGCAGGCGTCGGCCCCGGCTGCTGCGAGGGCCCTCCCGTTGAGGTGTCCATCTTATGTGCAGTGGGGCTACAACTGAGCGCGTCGGCAGGATCCGCAAAACCGTCGTAAACCCCCCAAAATTGAATTCGACCGCCCAAAGCTGTCCTGCGCACCCCGCCCCGCTCGCAGGGCGTGCATCACACAGGTACAGGTGGACTGTGTGACTCCTCGGGGTTTCTGGGGACTCTTGACAGAGGTGTGAGAGAGAGAGGTGAGAGAGAGAGTTTGTTGTTTGAGGTGTGCGATTCCTACCACTTGGAGCACCCGGGTGTTTTCTCCTTTTTTTGGGCTGCAGCACAAACGTCAACAACACTGGCGAGTAGAGACCACGCCTGCTATTCACAGCACAAGCCCTCGCCGAGGGCTCGAGCATGCATGCGCAGCGAAAAGCACGGACCCCGGTGTGAAAGGGCTCGCACCTCAACCTCTCACAGGCCAGCGCACAGCGCCATACGAGGTATTTTCTTCTCAATAACAAGGCCGTGAAAAAGTCACGCGTGGCTCGACATGCCCAGCGCCCCCGCCGGGCTCCCGCTCGGCAGCGTGGTCTTCCCTGGCGACCGCGTCGCGCGCGTCGCCGACTTCGAGCGCGTGCTGCTCGGCTCCGGCGTCCGGCGCGAGGGGCCGCTCCTCGTGTCGACGAGGGCCGGCGTGCTCGGCTGGGACACCGAGTCGTCGCGGCTGTGGGTCGAGGCGGAGCAGCGGCGGTACGTTCCCGTGCTGGGCGATCATGTGATTGGCGTCGTCGCTGAGAAGCACGCCGACGAGTACCGCGTCGACCTCGGCGCCGCCGCGCCAGCCACGCTGCCCGTGCTCAGCTTTGACGGCGCGACCAAGCGCAACCGGCCGCACCTCGCGGTGGGCGCGTTGGTGTACGCGCGCGTGGTGGTGGCCAACAAGGACATGGATCCGGAGATCAGCTGCGCTGCGCCGCCCGGCGTCTCGTCCCGCGACTGGGTGACGCGCGAGTCGCTCTTCGGCGAGCTGCTGGGCGGATACTCGTTCGATTGCCCGAGCGGGCTATGCCGCGCGATGGCGGCGGACGCGCCCTGCCCGCTGCTGGAGGCGCTCGGCGCCGTGGCCGCCTTCGAGGTGGCGGTCGGCGTCAACGGCCGCGTCTGGGTCGACGCGGCGCAGGCCTCAATGCTCATCCTCTCGCAGCAGGCGATGCTGCTCTGCCACACGCACCCGCCCGAGTCGCACCAGAGGCTCGTGCAGACGCTGGCGGGAGGGAGTGACGGCTACCGCGGCGAGGGAGGGTGAACCGGGACCGTACATGGAGGCGCGCGAGACAGCGAGAGACAGCGAGAGACAGCGAGAGGTGCAGCTGACGCAGAGAGAGCCCGGCGCCATCGCGCGGATTCGTGAACGAGTTGCAAAATCGAAAGCGAACGTATGCGGTTTGGTGTTTTGGTGAGACACACTGGATACAGTCTGTTGACATACCCGCCAATGACTCGTGGGTGAGGTCTTTCGAGTCTCTCGTCGACACGGCGCCGGGGGGCTCCGATTCTCCGAAGGCCATGTCGAGAGGGGTGCGCAACGACACCGACACACCGTGCGGGGACCGGGGCCCCGGGCGGAGTCGTATATGGTTGGCCGCGGGGCTGAAAGCGCGCAGCGAGCCAGGCGCTACCTGTCTGGTGACGGCGAGCGCCGGTCATCCTCGTCGCTCTCGTCACCGGTCGCGCTGTCGCTGAAGTCGCCGTCCTGCCCTTCGCGCAGCCGCGTGAGCATCTCGTCGAGGGCGAGGATCTGGAGCAGCAGCCCGTGCGGGCCCTCGTCGTACGTCCGGAGCCTGCGGCCACGGGTCGTTGGGAGGGGCCGAAGCGTGGCTGCGTGCCGCATCGAGTCGGCTTTCAGCGAGGGCCGAGATGGATGCCGAGCGGGAGACTGGGGCGTGGGTGAGGGGAGAGGCGACGTGTCGAGGAGGAGGGTAATGCCGCGTCACAGGGGCGTGGCTTGTCCCCAACATGCCGCCGCACCTGCCTCGCCGGCCCGACTCGAACGAGTCCCAGAACGCCTCCGCCTCCGCCTCCCGCCGGACGCCCAGCTCAGGGTATGCGGCGAGGGACGCGTACAGCGGCGCGGAGGAGCCGAGCGGGCCGCGCCGCAGCGGTCGGCCGTGCTCGTCGTACCCGTGCAGCGCCAGCCTGAGGAACAGAGGACCGAGACGGCTCGTTGGGACGGACTCCGCCGAGCGCGCGCGACTCAGCACGCCGCGCGGGCCCGTGCAGCGCGTAGAGCCGCCGCTGCTGCTCTCGCTTGGCCGCGTTCATCGACGCGAGCATGAAGAGCATCATCGCCTAATTAACTAACGAACATAATTAACATGAACCAGTTCATTCGACGCGAGCACGAAGCGCATCATCGCCAGCGAGAGGAAGCGCATCGACAGCATCGACAGCGCGGCGCGCGAGCGGAACATGAAGGCGACGTAGAAGGAGAGCTTCAGCGCCGCCTCCTCCAGCCGCGTGTACCGAGGGTCCACCCATCCGTACTCGCCTGGGGGACGTGTCACGGACATGTCGCGGGCATGTCACCGACATGTCATGGGAGATCGCCGATAGCCGTACTCGCCTCCGCTCGCGCCGGGCGGAAGCCGCAGGATCTCGGTCGCCTTAGGGCCAGGGCCAGGGGTGAGGTTAGGGTCAGGGTTGGGGTTGGGGTCAGGGTTGGGGTTAGGGTCAGGGTTGGGGTTGGGGTCAGGGCAAGGGTTAGGGTTAGGGTCAGGGACAGGGGTAAGGTCAGGGCCAGGGTCAGGGGTAGGGAAGGGTCAGGGGTAGAGCGGCAGGGGGTTGGGCACCCGCAGGATCTCGGGTCGCCTGAGCGGCTCGTGTTGTGCGGCTCGTGTTGTCTCGTGTTGTCTCGTATTGTCTCGTGTTGTCTCGTGTTATCTCAGTCCATCTGGTGTGCTCTCGGCACCCTCCTCGCCTTGCGCGAGAAGTGCAGCGCGTGGGACTCGGACAGCAGGCCCGAGCAGCGCGGGGCGACGAGCACCTGTTCGCGGCAGGAGCCGTGAACACCTCCCCTATTAATTATTAACTATTAATGATCGCGGGGCGACGAGCACCTGTCCGCAGCAGGAGCCGTGAACAGCGCCGTCAACAGCGGCGCGGGCTGCGGCGAGCAGCGGTGGGGGAGGAGCGCCTCCGCCACGGAGGGCGAGAGCAGGAGCAGCGAGGTCAGCTCCCACGAGCGGGGGGAGCGGTGCAGCCAGGAGCGCAGCAGGTGCGAGCCGTAGGCGTGGCGGGAGGGGGCGGCGGCGGGCAGCGCCGGCGCGACGAGGACGGCGAGGCGGCAGGCGGAGATGCGAGCGAGGAGCGTGAGGTTGGCCTGGGAGGGGGGGGGGGGGGTGCGGGCTGTGGGGGGGCTGAGGAA